TATTTGAATTCAGCACATCAAAATACATAATAAATAGCACATTTTATCTCTGAAGCAGACGACTTCTCAAAAATTGTAGACCAGTGTAATTGAAGAGACACGGGAGCAGGCCACTCGTCTCCCACATGGATGTGCTAACGACTCAGCTATAGAGTCACTAGTACTACCTCTTTCTCTGTCCCAGGAACTACTAAATATAGAATACAAAGTGGAACAGCTTTAACTGGAGAGATTGAGGGTGCTCTGGACACCAGAATGTGCCTATCTCAGTGGTTAGTGCATGCCCATAGCTGTGAAAGATCCTTGTTCAAATCCTGTCTCCGCCTGCAGTAGAGGGGGGAACAGAACCGGGCCCCAACATCCTGGGTAAGTGTGCCATCCACTAGGCTGGAAGGTATAAGATGGGGAACTCTATCTCCTCTGGCTGGATTGTGAATGGAAACTGATAGAGATCGGTGTCCGGGTCCTAGAGCTAGGCAGCAGGGAGCATGCTCAGAGGCATCTAGGGAACTTTTACCCTGAAAGGTCAGGCACTGAGTGAGTTTAGGTGCCTAGCGGGACAGGTGGCAGCCGAGCAGAGTGTTTTCCAGGTTGCAGTGGTGCCTAAAATTGTGGTTTATGTGTCTAAGCGCCATTGTGGATCTGGGCCTCTGTGTTTGCAAACTAATGGTACTTTCTCTTGCAGAGCTGTTTTCCCGAAGGGTCAATCCCTGGACGGTGGCGCTGGGGGTGATCCTGGCTCTCCTGGCTGTTCTGATTGCCCTGGCCAGTTACTGCTTCTGGAGGCAACACAGAGCGAAAGGTAAAGTGATGAGAAGGGAGAATTCAGTGTGACCAGAGGGACAATGTCATTAAAAACAAACCATGGGAATGAATTGATTCAGTTAATGAATTCAGTGTTCTAAAGAAAGTTTAGAACTATGGGAGATGGACACAGGCTGAGGGAGAAGGAGGGGTTGAATTAATTATTATTCAGAAACAAAAAAGTTTCATTTAATGTGAGTTACAGTTGCTCTAATCAATAAACTGAACCGTTAAAAATGAGGAAATACAAAGTAAAGGATAAAAAGTCAAGTACAATTTCTAATAAAACAACACAAATCATATCTGATATTTTTAGAAGATTAAACACCATCCTTCATGCCAACCAAAATACATCCTAATGTATTGGTGTTACTATTAACATTGAAAGTAAATAACTATTGGTTTACACTAATTGTGTTATATTTATTCTTTATTACTTATTTTAATGGCCATTAAAGTGACCAAAACATATGGTTAAATTGTATCATTATTACAGTCATTGTAAAGATGACTCATTTCAGACACATTTTTATTTATTGTATAAATAAGTTTTATATTTACCATCTGAATATAATGTTTGTAATACATGTATATTGGATATTTAACAAATTCATTAATTGATATTTTGGTTGGAGTTAAGGATAGTGTTTAATTCCCTTAAAGAACGGCCCTCTTTCAAAATGGCCACCATCTTCTACTGTTCTCACAGGGACTGAGGTCACAATTTGCCCAGGTTTAGTTGGCCATTTTCAGAAGGGAATGTATCTTGTATTGTTCCCCATGGGACTGAGGCTACAGGCTGCCCAGAACAAAGACCGCTGTGACGTCACTGTCACTGGAAACAAGGGGATGCAGTGGCCTTTGTGAAAAAGTGGACCTTAGCTAAGGGCCACTGTAATCTAGTCCCATTGAGAGCAATGGGAGATGGCAGCCATTGTGAACCAGGGCAGTTCTGTGTGAGTGTCTCTGAAGAAGAAGATTTTATGCACCAGCCTCTACTGACAGATCAACTTCCAGTTATGAAAATACTGGCAAAAAATGACCATTAATCCTATTTGTTTTCAAATGCTGCACATTGCACCAGATCTTCTGCACAGGGAGGGCAAGAGGGGGAAACTAGGGGTGTGCATGCAGCAAAATACGGGGTGCAAGAGGGAGGGGGATTTGGGGGGGTGTCTTGGGGAATGTAAGGAAGTGCAAGAAGAAGGGGGGAGTAGGAGGATGTGGGGAGGTAGGGGAAATCTGGGCTATACACTCTGGCTGCTTTGAACTGCTCTGGTGATGCAAGAAAGAAACCCAGTTTAACTGGCTGCTTTGTGCTAATCCAGAGGGGGGGAAAACAGCCAAAATGTGCTGATGAACTTGGCCATAACAATAAATACAATAAAAATTATTTATATTTGATAATTCATAGTTTCAAATATTAGAAATATCACATGGTACCATTCTCTTTGGGAGTTTTCTTTAAATTTATGTACAGAATTTTTAAACAAAAAATCTTTCCCAGACCAAAAAACAAAACAAAACAAAAACAGTTAAAATGGAGCTAAAGTTGAGAGAACATACTTAAATATGTTACAGAAATACTGTAATTATCCTAAAACCAAACATTATAAATCCTGAAAATTGATAATTAAGGTTAAACTTAAAAGAAATGCAAACATGCTAGGGCCTGGAAACGTACTGTTAGGACACACAAACAGCCTTAACTCTGCCCTGTAGTGACACCATGAGTCCAGGTCCAGGGAGTAGTGAGAAAATAAAATCTCTTTAAAGATCAGTTTAATTTAATCTTGACCACAAACACTACAATATCTTAATCATAATTATATGGTCATTGCATTATGTTACTACATTATAGCTTTGTGTTACTACAAACAGGAAATGTTCCACAATTGCACACAAAAGAGGAGAAAGACACCACATCTTTTATTGCTTTAAGTCCTCTATTGCCACCTTTTTCCTGTGTGTGCTTTTAACACCCCCCCCCCCCCCTTCTCTCTCTCTTTTGGTCAGCACCTTCTGCATATCTTTTTTATTTGTTTGTTTTGAAGAGACAGAGAGGGGGTTGACAGTTAAAATACACTTAACATTCCTTAAACTTCTTTAAACTTAAAACCCAAACCACCCCCTGATAAAAACAAAAGAACAATAAAGGAATGAGCTGCAGGAGTAAAAAGAGAATGCAGGCAGAAGTCCAGCAACAGTTTATTGCATCCAATGCCGCATGTATGATTACCTCCCCTATGTGCAGGTGGCATATGTGTGAATTCGGTGCAAGGACCTTCTGGCCTTCAGAGACTGTGTACGGGCTTTGGATACCAGAGTGGCTGAACTGGAGGAGCTAAGGGAGACAGAGAGGTATATAGATGAGACTTTCCGTGACACAGTAGAACAGTCTCACCCCCGGTCTGACAGCCTCTGTGCTGTTGAGGAGGATGAAAGTCTCAGGGAAGGAGAAGATCCCACTGGAGCAGAGGAAAACAATCCCATTGTTGGGACCTTCCTTACAGATGATGATGTAGTATTCTCTAGAACTGAGGATACCACTCCAGGGGTGGGAACTCCAGTTATTAGGAAGAGACAGGTATTGGTAATGGGTGATTCAATCATTAGAAAGATAGCTGGGTTTGTGATGACCAGGAGAACCACATGGTGAGTTGCTTGCCTGGTGCGAAGGTCTCTCAAGACATCTAGATAGACTTATGTGTAGTGCTGGGGAGGAGCCGGTAGTTGTGGTACATGTAGGTACCAATGACATAGGAAAGGATAGGAGCGAGGTCCTGGAGGCCAAATTTAGGCTTTTAGGCAAAAGATTGAAGTCCAGGACCTCCATGGTAGCATTCTCTGAAATGCTTCCAGTTGCTCGCGCAGGGCCAGTTAGACAGGCAGAACTGCAGGGTCTCAATGCATGGATGAGACGATGGTGTAGGGAGGAGAGGTTTAGATATATTAGGAACTGGGGAAACTTTTGGGAAAGGGGGAGTGTAGCGGGGTGGTCACCCCGCTCTGGCCCAGAAGGGGTTAAAACAGCCCTGGGAAAGGGCTGCCCTGGGGAGCCAGGAGAGTAGGTTGATTGGGGAAGCAGCCACAGATGGGCCACACCCCAGTCAGTCCACAGCTGGCCCTGATAAAAGGGCTGTGAGCCAGGAGCTAAGGAGTGTCTCTCTAGCTCTTGAGGGAGAAGGACCTAGCTGCCTGGGAGCTAAGGGAACCAGAAGTAGAGTAGCACTGGGGGAAAGGCAAGAGGAGCTGGGGAGCTCCAGCCTGGTAAACCCCCAGGCTGCAGGTCTTGATGAAGGCCTATGGAGGTACTGGGGCTACAGAGGTGCAGCCCCGGATTAGGGAGAGGCAGCTGGTCCGACCCCCTTGCCAATGATGAGTGGTTTACAGACTGCAGTCTGCCCCAGTGAGCGGGGGCGAGATGCTGACTGGCAGTAGCCACTGAGGCAAGGTGGGATTAGAGGGTTGGGGGTTCCCCTGGGAGGAGAGACCAAGAGCGTGGGGGTACTGCCACGGGGCAGCACCCCAAGGTAAAAGGGGCACCGGGGTCCAGGAGGGACACGGCGAGACAGCTGAGCTGAAACGAGCTAATTCCCAAGACGACCAGGAGGAGGCGCCGCACCGGTGCATCTTCACCTTGCTACAGGGAGCCTATACAGGAAGGATGAACTCCACCTAAACTAAGATGGAACCAGATTGCTAGCACTTAAATTAATTCCAATTCTGCAGTTTCTCATTGGAGTCTGTTTTTGAAGTTTTTTTTGTTGGAGTACTGCGACTTTCAGATCTGTGATTGAGTGACCAGCAAGGTTGAAGTGTTCTCCGACGGGTTTTTGAATGTTATAATTCTTGACGTCTGATTTGTGTCCATTTATTCTTTTGCGTAGAGACTGTCCAGTTTGGCCAATGTACATGGCAGAGGGGCATTGCTGGCACATGATGGCATATATCTCATTGGTAGATGTGCAGGTGAACGAGCCTCTGATATTGTGGCTAATGTGATTAGGTCCTATGATGGTGTCCCCTGAATAGATATGTGGACAGAGTTGGCAATGGACTTTGTTGCAAGGATAGGTTCCTGGGTTAGTGTTTTTGTTGTGTGGTATGTGGTTGCTGGTGAGTATTTGCTTCGGGTTGGGGGGCTGTCTGTAAGCGAGGACTGGCCTGCCTTCCAAGATCTGTGAGAGTGAGGGATCATCCTTCAGGATAGGTTGTAGATCCTTGATGATGCGCTGGAGAGGTTTTAGTTGGGGGCTGAAGCCGTCACCTTCAATGAGAAACTGCAGAATTGGAATTAATTTGCAAACTAGACACCATTAAATTAGGCTTGAATAAAGACTGGGAGTGAATGGGTCATTACACAAAGTAAAACTGTTTTCCCATGCTAATTTTTTTCCTCCTACTGTTACTCACACCTTCTTGTCAATGGTTGGAAATGGGCCATCCTGATTATCACTACAAAACTTTTTTTTCTTCTGCTGATAATAGCTCACCTAATAGTTCACCTTAATTAATTACCCTTGTTACAGTTCGTATGGCAACACCCATTTTTTCATGTTCTCTGTGTATATATATTTTCCTACTGTATCTTGCACTGCATGCATGCGATGAAGTGGGTTTTAGCCCACGAAAGCTTATGCTGAAATAAATGTGTTAGTCTCTAAGGTGCCACAAGTACTCCTCGTTCTTTTTACAAGAACTAGGGGTCACCAAATGAAATTGATAGGCAGCAGGTTTAAAACAAACAAAAGGAAGTATTTCTTCACACAATGCACAGTCAACCTGTGGAACTCTTTGCCAGAGGATGTTGTGAAGGCCAAGACTATAACAGGGTTCAAAAAAGAACTAGATACATTCATGGAGGATAGGTCCATCAATGGTTATTAGCCAAAGTGGGTAGGGATGGTGTCCCTAGCCTCTGTTTTCCAGAAGCTGGGAATGGGCGACAGGGGATACACTTGATGATTACTTGATGATTATCTGTCCTGTTCATTC